TCTAGCGGTAGATTCGTTCGATTTTGCTCATCCTATCGATGGAAATACCCTCTCTTTGTCTCTCTCTCTCTCTCACACACACACACACGAGCACGTAAAGCACGAGCGGCAGGCAGACCAGGGGTGGGAGGAGGAAGAGCGAGAAGAGCTGCAGGAGGGGGAGCGGGAGAAGGACGATCCATCATTTGTTGCTGTTAAGCAATGTGAAAGGGAGGACGTACACACGTGCGCGCGCGCACGAGAGAGAGAGAGAGAGAGAGAGAGAGAGAGAGAGAGAGAGAGAGAGAGAGAGAGAGAGAGAGAGAGAGAGAGGCCAGCCCCGCAAACTGACCTGCGCAGACTGCCGGCGGGTGAGGGCGTGGCCCGTGGGACGAGCGGGAGGAGGAAGAGGGGAAGAGCAGGAGGAGCAGCGGGAGGAGGAGGAGGAAGAGCTGTCAAGGCAGGGAGGTCGCAATCGGGGGAAGTAGAGGTCGGGATGGAGAAACAGGTTCGGAGAGGGAAGTCGGGACCGGGGGACAGAGGTGGGGATCGATGGGGGGAAGTGAGGGGAAGGAAGCCGAGATGGGGAGGGAAGTCGCCAGAGGGAGGTCGAGGGAGGGAGGTTGGGGGAGGGAGGTCGGAGGAGGGAGTCGGGATCGGGGGAGAGAGGTGGGGATCGGTGGAAGGAAGCCGGGATCGAGGGAGAGGTGGGGATCGATGGAGGAAAGTCAGGATCGGGGGAGAGAGGTGGGGATCGATGGAGGGAAGTAGGGGGAGGGACGCTAGGATGTGGAAGGAAGTCGGCGAAGGGAGGTCGGGGGAGGGAGGTCGGCGGAGGGAGGTCGGCGGAGGGAGGTCGGCAAAGAGAAGTCGGAGTAGGGACGTTGGAGTAGGGACGTCGGAGTAGGGACATTGGGGGAGGGAGGGGAGTCGGGATGGGACGGGAAGTCCTGGGGGGGGGGTCAGTCCAAGGAGGGAAGTCGGGATGGGAAGGGAGGTTGGAGGAGAGGGGTCGGGGGAGAGGGGTCGGGGAATGGAGGTCGGCGGAGGGAAGTCGGGGCAGGGAAGTTGGGGCAGCGAGTCGAGATTGGGAGGGAAGTCGAGGGAGGGAAGTCGGGGGAGGGAAGTCGGTGGAAAGAAGTTGGGGGAGGGAGGGGGGAATAGGAGGTGGCATGGCGGTGTATATTTCCATCGCAAAAAAAAAAAAGAAAAAAAAAACGTGTGGCGATGTATATTTCCATGTTCTAGCGGGAGAAGGA